TTCCTGCCACAAAGTGCAAAGAAAGGGACCAAGGTTCCCAGAAAATGTTTGCCCAGAGTGGAAGATAAGGACCAAGGAGGCGAGGAGGAGGCAGGCAGCCGTTGTGGGAGCCTGGCAGAGGGAGATCCAGCGACAGAAAACTGGGCGGGAGAGAGAGGAAACAGCTGTCTGCATTCTCCCAGATGGCGGCCAGTGTCACCAGAAGCTCAGGGCTGGTGTCCCTGCTTGGGTGTTGCCATCGTTTCATCCGATACAGTCCACCGTCGCCGGTCACGGGTACAGTTGCGGATGCACTTGAAAGCAAACCAGTGTATCTCCTGTGGTTTGTTTTCACATGTCTGGAGACACCAGGGAAATGGTCCTCCTGGTGTCATTCCCTGTCATTACGTTTTACTGCTGAAAGCAAGAAAGGTTTATTTTTCTGTCACTCAGTGGAGACATACACCGGCAAGGAGGAGGAAAAAAAAGCAAAGACGCACACGAGAGGTAGTAACCTTTGCTTTTGAAGGTTCAGGCCTGAGGTTTACTCAGCCAGCGTTTTGGGGAACAGTGGGTGATTGATTTCAAACATGGTGTGTGAGGTGGGAAGAGGTTGGCTAGGAACCAGAAAGGCTGTCCTCATGACTAAAACGAAACCTGAAGGTATTTCCTTTCTGTCCTTGGAAACAGGAAACCAGTTGTGGTTTTCGGCAGCATTCTTGCAGGAGAGCGTTCGGGGAAGGCCCCCAGCTGCACCGGGGCGGGGAGGCCGCCGGGCTCTCGGTTTACAGAGAGACAGATGTTACATACACCCCAGCTCCGTTATGCGTGGTCACCAGTGACCAGAGAAGCTACTCGATGCAATGCATCTGTTTCAGATACAGAAGTATAGAGAAAATATTTATTGAGATTTAAGTTATTGTTATTTATTACCGTTCACTAATGAGTTTCTCTTTTTTCCCTTATTTATTAAAGTTTCTTTTCAAAGGTGCCAAAGTATATGTGCTCGCAAAACGCAAAAGAAGGTGACAAAGGAAATTTTAATTGGGAACAAGGGTCCATGCTTTTCAAAGTATTAAAAAGTTTTTCGCTAAGCAAAAAATCACTTACTTTACCTTTTTTAAGAAGAGCTCTCGTGTGATTCCCCCAGATCTCAGCGTCTTACCTGTTTTCATATTTTAGAGAAGAAACGTGTCAGAAGGAACATTTCTGACCGGCTCCCTTCTCGGGAGCAGGACACAGAGACCGGGGCACTCAGCTTCATTTCTTCCTGGTTCTGTCTCCCAGCAGATAGGCTGTGTGCTCCATTCCCTGTTGTATTTAAGCTCTCACTCCCCTCCACGTGTATCTGTCTATCATGTGCATAACCATATATATCAAAGGTTAAAGTCCCCTTAGTAGGTAGTCCTGGATTCAATGCAGACCTCAAAGTAACAATGCTGTCAGGTAGCCAGGGTTCTGCCCTGATTGTGGAGACTCTTCCTCTATCCTTCCATCCACCACCTTCCTGAGAAACATGCTCAGCCCCAGTGCAGCCAAGGAGTGCTCCAAAAAAGCCACCAGTTGCTGCCCCTCCCTCGGAAGAGGGTGCCCCGGAAGGGTGGGCAAGCAAGATGGGCCTGGGCCAGCCTCAGCACGCACGCCCTGCCACCTGGATGCTGAAAGCCTTTGACGGGGTGGAGGTGTAGGGTGAGAACAACCCTCTCCTAAGCGCCCCAGATCATGGATTTGTCTGGCAGCTGACCCATGCTCAATGCACTGAGCCCTACTGTAGAGCTTGTTACACATCTCATAAAAGGGATTTTTAATCAGAGAGATCATCCATCTCTACCGTAGTGGCTATTAGCCCCAAACTATGACAGATATAGCCGTTAAATAGCCTACTGGCCTCCCTCAAATAATCATGTTAATTTTACAAAGTAACCAAGAAGCAGCAGTTACCAGACATCCCTCCCCCCACCCCGCCCCAAAAGACCCGAGCTGTCCATCGTTCTGCACCCTCTGTCCTTTCTGTTCCCCTTACACGACTCGGAAATAGAGGAAAAGGGCCTCCCTTTTGTCCTTTCTTGGGGCCCAAGCAGGGACCTTGCTGAGGAGCAGCCTGCTCAAAATAGGGACAGACCCAGCCGACCAGTCATTGATCAAAGCACAGTTTGATGCAGCCCCAGGATCATCTGTCCGATTCAGAGAGTCCTGGCTGATCTGGTGGCTGGTGTCCCCAGGGGTCAGCCTCAGCCCCAGCTCCCCGTGGAGTGTCTCTGCCCACAGGGGCAGTGGGATTCAACGGGTGCCGACAGCTTGTTCCCAGCATCACCTACACACCATAAGCAGGTTTTAACTGAAGCAAATCGCTCCACCAAATCCACAAAAGGGTAAAGTTTGTGATTTTTCTCTATCATTGTGATTACCATCTGATCCAGTAAGGAGTGCACTTCTTTGGAAGTTTTGACTTCTCTGATCTGTCTCGGTCGTTTGTGTTATACAACCAAAGTTCTCTACAGACTTTATTTTTGTACAATATTATTTTGTAACTTTTTACAAATAAAAACTCATTTCTATTGCTCTCTGTACTTCTGCGGTTCCTCACCTGCCCAGACCATGACTGGCCCAGGCTGGAAGGCCGTGCCCTTCACTACCACTCAGCCCACTGGTTGGTCAGTGGCCTTGTCCATCAACTCTCCACAACCAGTCACCACCCAACTGGGGAAGAACTTGCAAAGCTGTTCTTCATTTATTCATTCAACAAATACTTGGGGCGAGCGACACTGTGCCAGGCACTGTCCAAGGCACCAAGGATCCAACATTGGCCAAAAGAACAAACAAACAAAACTCTGCTCAACCCTGTGGAGTTGATATTTTATTTGAGGGGGAGACAGACAATATTCAAAAAAGTAAAAATATGTAGGGATTCAGGTGTCGATAAATGAGCCACCATTTGTAAAGAATACAAACAGGATATCATAATAGTAAATAGCAGGGGCCTGCTCTAACTAGAGGTGACATTGAGGCGGGACTTACGAAATAGATAGGATTGTCCTGGCAAAACCCTGCGGCAGGCAAGCGCTTGGACGGCACCACCGCTTTGCACAACCCTGGGAGACGCCGTTCTCGTGGGTTCTCCGCAGCAAAGTAGCAGAATCCCTGGAATTGTGCAAATGGTGGCCTCAGGCTTAGTTGTTGCTGGCAAGAAATACACACTGAAGAGAGGAAATGCCACGGCCCTGGACTGCAGGGAGAGAGCATGCTTCCTGCTCAGATGACACACACCCCGTGCTGTGTCACAGGTGGCATTGTGACTATTGAAAGGTGGCCTTGTACAGTGTTTCAAACCCAAAATGAAACTCTGACGCTCTTAAGACTCTTCTAAGTGGCCACCAGCCTAGGCTTTCCAGCCGACCACAGTCAGGGAAGTACAGGAAATGCCCACCCCTTCTGGACACTCACCATCCCCCAGGTAGAGTGGCTGGTACCCACTGTGGGCACCTGGAGTCCTGCTGCCAGGGCAGTGCTGAGGCCAGCTCACTTTCTCTAAGCCAGATCCTGGCCCAAAGCTCGGAGAGGAATGCGAACTCTTGCTTACCTCCACTCCTTTTACCGTCTCTCCAAAGTGTGTTCCCAGGATGATGAACCAGGTGAGATGCTTGTAAAAAATGGGGTAGTTCTCTGATCAAACAAGTTTGGAAAACATTGAGTTAAACAATGTCTTTTTGAAGTTAGAGAAGTGTAGAACTTATCAGAGCCTTTATTAAACTAATGAACCTTGTGACCATCCAGGAGGGGCAGAGCATGCAGACTTCCCCAGATGGATGGGACCATGAAACTGCCCATGATTTTGTTTTCTTTCTCATAACACCTGTTGCCCGTCCCTTGAAACTACCTTGGGCCATGTTACCCGCTCCTATAAGCACCGGGATGAGCAGAGCGGGGGACTAGAGATTAATAAGAGTCAGAAACTACTGGGCAGCTCCCCACGTGTGCACACGCGAGCACACACACACACACACACACACATACACACACACACACACACACACACACACACACACACACGTTATGGACATTTGGGCATTGTGGGTTTCTTGTTCAGCATGATTAACAAGTGGTCAACTTTGGAAATTTCATTCAACCGAGAAAGGGAGAGTTGAAAGCTGGGAAATTCTTAGCAGCAATAAGCAAAGGAACTCTCGCCGTGCTTATCGCAAATGCTCACCCAGTTCAATTTGTTAGGAACCACCAAGTGCTTTGGTTGGTCCATAGTTTTGGGGTGGCGGGTGCCCCCTCACAGTGGTCCTCAGAGGAATGTTCCTCTCTTTGGGCGTCTGACTCTGAGTCCTTGCTGCTGAGGGTGGTGTGAGAGCACGGGACCAGGAGCCCAGACACCAGGCTCTGACGGTCTTGTGGGGCTGTACCCACCGTCATCTCGGGCCGGTGCCAAAGTAACAGTTTAAAAGAACTTTTAAAAGAATCAATCCACTCCCAAAGTTAAGATGGAAAACCAGAATTCCCTGAACCTAAGTCTCAAAAACAGAAAGCCCCTCCCCTTCACACACAGGGACCCTCTTGGGCCACAGCTGATTTGCTACCTGACCCCAGCATCACAGGGAGGAGGGAGCCTGAGCCCTCGCACCCTCTACCTTCTCGGAGCACAGTGGCAGGGAGGGGCCATAAGTGCCCACCACAGGGGCCTCGGGCTTTTGTCCATCAGGTTGTGAAGTGTCTGAGCCCCAAGTGTCTTCTTGGGACACATCTTTGTTAAAAGGGTGTTACTGCAATCCCACACAGTAGTTAACTTGACTCTTATCTCCCCACACAACATCCTGAATGAAATCAAAACCAGATCCTGCCAAGTCATCCCTGAAAATAAATAGAGAGTTGGGGAAATAAGAGGAAAGCACCCACTTACTCATATGTGACAACTAATACACTGCCATGTC